CATTCTGAAGCAACTGCGCTCATTCACTCAAGACCTCATGCGTGACCTATCCGTTGCTTTCCGAAACAATTCACCAGCTTCAAGTACAGCCGGTAAAATAAGGCTCCGATATTACAACGAAAACTTCTGCCAACGCCTCCCACTTCGGAGGTGCATCAGTGAGCGCGGCCTTGGCTGGAGTTCCAGGCTTCAGTTCGGATTGTTGCTGGTTAGAGTTGAAGGTGTAGGACCCTGTTTTACGACCACAGGGTTTAGGGTCTAGGGTTTACGAACAGGAGTTCAGGTTTCAGGGCTTAGGGTTTACGATTTAGTGTTTGGGGTTTGGGGCTGAAGGGTTGCGATTTGGGCCTAGGTGCAGGCGATCTAGGCTTTCCGGCGTGAGGCGGACCTCTGGGGGTTCTCGCTCGTATGTGAACAGGTCTCAGCCCCTTAGGCTAGACGAAACCCTACACCATACTATAGAAGCCTAAATAGTTACCCATATTATTCCTTAGGGTTCCTTGTTATAGTTATGCTATAAAGGAGCCCAAAACCCTATTGTAATTTTTAAGGCCCGTATATTACACCCTCAAGGTGACCCTGAGAGCCAACTCCTGCCTTATAGAAAGGGTTCTATCATTTAAGCAGCACCTATATATTGGGCTGGGACTCGGTCTTTTGCACTGAGCCCCTTCAAAGTCCTTGACCCCATGCAACCCCAAACAAACCTCTGCAAACGCGTATAAACCGTATGACACGTCCTGGATCTGCTGTTCTTTCTGTGCCCGCAGAGAACTCCGAGGATCGCGCAATGCCGGGCAGCACCTGACAGTTGGGGGTTCTTCAATTCGGGGTTGTTTCTTGCACAGTCAGGGGGGGCTGTAGAGCAGAACCCCAATACTGTTGCACTCAACCATGTCAAGCCTTAGCATCATCGCCAGTGATGCCGAAAGGTACAATAGCAAACCCGTGCTAAAGATCTAAACCCCACAACCTATATAAACCCTAAACCCTACACTCTAAACCCTACACCCTAAAACCTTAAATCCTACACCCTAAACCCTAATCCCTAAACCCTAAACCCTGAACCCTAAACCCTACACCAAAAACCCTAAAACCCTGTTATGGAGCCCGAAAAGAGCCCCATTGGCCTTGCCTTGCCCTCCAGGAGCTCCAAAGAAGCGCCGCCGCCGGTGGACACGAAGGAGACCTTGTCCTGCAAGGGTTTAGGGGTTTAGGGCTTACCTTAAGAACCCAAACCCTACTTTTTTGTAGGGTCCCTATAAATCCCACGTTAGGGTTTATACTACGAACCTACAAAAAAGTGGGTTTTGGGTTCTTAAGGTAGGGCTTAGGGTTTGGGGGTTTAGGGCTTAGGGTTTAGGATTCAGGGTTTAGGGTTTAGGATTCAGGGTTTAGGGGACCTTGTCCTGCAAAAGGCAAAAGAGAAGGTTTTTGGGGTTTAGGGCTTAGGGCTGGGATCTGGGGCTTAGGGTTTAAGGTTCAGGGTTTAGGGTTTGGGGTTTAGGGCTTTTGGTTGGGGGGTTTGGGGCTTAGGGTACAGTTCAGGGTTTAGGGTTTAGGTTTAGGGCTTAGGGTTTAGGGTTCAGGGTTTAGGGTTTAGGATTCAGGGTTTAGGGTTTAGGGTTCAGGGCTTTGGGTTTAGGCTTAGGATGTTGAGG